CCTGGGCCAGTTCCCCTGCGGCTCTGCACCACCTGGCCCCTTACGTAGGGCGCTAGCCTGTTGTCCATGAGCTCTCCACACTGAGCTGTCCATGGAAATGTGACTCTTCCAGCCAGTCACCCAGTCTTCACTCCCTGAGCTCCACACAGCAACTAACTGCTGCTCGGTTCTGCAGCTCCTTTTGTATGGCCTTCCTGGCCTCTAATTGGCTGCTTCCCCTGCAGCCACTCTAGCCTGCCTGGAGGACCTCTCTACTGCCTTTTTCTGGGGTAGGACCTGGCAGGACCACAAGGCCTCCAGCAGGGGGCCTCAGGGAATAGTCACAGGGAAGCTGTGAATTTGCTTTCTCGTTTCTCAGCCATTCAGGTGCACTCAGCTCACGTTTTCCAGGTTCTCTGGTGCCATGAGGGCTGGATCCTCGTCTTTCGAAATGAACGCGGCGATGCTGACAAAAGCGCTTGTTGCCAGGAGCTGGAGCTTTTAAAAATCCCAAATATGCCCTGCCCTGGCGACACTGCCCTTCCCCCTCCCTCCTGCCCCCCAATAGCTGCCAACGGGGGCCAAGGGGGCACTTGCCTCAGGGCCCAGCAATTCAAAGGGGCCTGGGGCTCCCAGCCCCGGCTCCCGGCAGGAAACGCGGCGATGCTGACAAAAGCGCTTGTTGCCAGGAGCTGGAGCTTTTAAAAATCCCAAATATGCCCTGCCCTGGCGACACTGCCCTTCCCCCTCCCTCCTGCCCCCCAATAGCTGCCAACGGGGGCCAAGGGGGCACTTGCCTCAGGGCCCAGCAATTCAAAGGGGCCTGGGGCTCCCAGCCCCGGCTCCCGGCAGGAGCCGGCTCTGGGGTGTGGCACCAGGCAGTCTGTGCGGCTCTGAGGGCTGAGGGGTGGGGGTCAGCACCGTGCTCCAGGCTGCCCCGGCCCCACCCCTCCCACCCAAGGTCCAGCCCCTTCTGGGACATGGAGCTGGCCCCACACCCGTCCTGCTGGGGGCCCATGGTGTCTGTCGGCCCTGCTGAATAGCTGTCGCTAGTGTCCTGTCTGTCTCCTACATGGAGCTGGACCCTCCCGCCTGGACTGGGAACCTGCCCCTGGAGGCCAAGTCAGCTCGTTTTGAGGCAGGAAGTCCTTACGCCATAGAAGAAACAATCCCGCCAGCTCTCCGCATGGCCGGCTGGCCCAGGCAGAAGGCAGGTTCTTAGTGCCACGTCCTCGCGGTTCCCATTCTTCCGAACGGAACAGCAAAGGCTGCAGGGAACGTTCCTCCTGCGCTCGCCATGTGTCTGCAACGTCCCTGCCCCACTGGTGCACCGGCCTCACCGGCTGACGTCTGGCTGCTCTCCCGCCGCTCACTACGGCTTGCCTCCGCCAGGGTCGGCCAGCCGTGCTCAGAGTATGGTCCGTGGTCTGCCGGGGGGCCACAAGCTCGGTGCTCAGCCCCCCCTCCCTGCAGTGGGGAGCCTGCGCTGGCGCTCCAGCCCCTCCCCACCCTGTGGTTGGCGCGCCAGTGCTGTCCTGCTCGGGGGGGTGAGGCCCCGAGTCTCGCGGGCTGGATCCGGCTGGTGGGGGCAGGAAGCGGCTCCATGCACTGCTCTGGCTAGGGGGGCGACAGCACAGGAAACCGCTTGCCTGGAGCCTTTCCCTGCAGCGCCCATTGGTTGGAATCCTGGCCAATGGGAGCAGCGTGGGGCAGAGCCTGGCAGTGCCGGGGGCAGAGCCAGGTAAGCACCCCCCATGCCCGACCCCCACTCCCGCATCCCCCTCGCGTACACCCCTCCTACCAAGACCCTCCCACCCCCAACCCGCTCCTGCCCCCTCCCTCGTGCCCAGCCCTGCCCACTCCAGAGGTGGTTGGCTGGTGGCCTGTGGAGATTCGCATTGAGCAGGGTGGGCCAAAGGCCAAAGCGTTTGAGAGCCCCGTTCTAGATCACGCCACGTACTGTGGCGAGAAGGGGCTGGCGCTCTGTGCGGGTCCTACGGGCCAGGGTCCGGCAGCGGGAGCCTCGTTCCGAGACAGGCCCTGTGGGCAGCAGTGCGGCCTCCCCGCGCAACCGCCGCGCACCG